AAAAAAAAAAAAAAACAAAGAAATTTGTTTGAATTTCAATGTATAGTCAATCAAAAACTGTTCAACTTTTGTTTAAATTATTTGAAAAATCGTGAAAAGTGTTACGTGGGACACACTCTGTGTGTGGAGATATATTAATGAAGTATTTTCATGAATTATTAAACATTTATTTCAATGGGGAGATTTACCTTAACAAAATCTTCTTTGCGATGATCGTCGTTGTGTAAATTGATTTCTTTAACATCAAAATCAATGCCAACGGCTGCCCCCACCATAAGCACTGCACGACAGGGTGGACTTAAGATAGTCGAGTACAATGTGATCTCAGGCATCTTTCCTTCCTATAAATATTCAATTCAAATTATTCTCCAATGACAAATTACGACGCTTCAACAAATTTCATTCAAATAAATCGACACAATTTCGATATTTCACTTGAAAATAAAAATAAACAAAATATTTCACCGACTATCAATTATGATAAAGTCAAACATATCAGGTACCACTAAGTCATTGTTTAAAGAACAACAACATTCATTAAAATACCATTTTGTTTATCTGGTGACTAAGTATAATCTCTTCAACGAAAAAATACAAATAATCAAAGTGAAATATACGATGTTACCAAGAAAAAAAAATGAAATACGAATTTTGTTTGTTCAAACACGAGCTTTGAATATTACTCACCACGTATTTAAAAAAAATATAAGGAAGAATATGACGTTAATAATAAAGATGAAGATGAAGAAGAAAAGGAAGAAGATGGGGTTCACTTAAACAACGCCACGGCCGGTTTGTTACTGATAGCTTGACCCAATCCTACCGACAGTTTTATCGTCGAGTATAGTTAGTAAAGCCGGTTATACAATACTTCTTGTTTTCTCTATACTGCGTTCACCAACCTACTTGATCAACCTATAGGAATTGATCGACACTGATATCAAATTTAGGGCCGTAATTAGTCGTTTCTTGAATATCTTTTTTTGTTCCTTAAGTTACATATATTATATATTTTTTGTTTTTTTTTTATCAATTACAATAGAAACGAATCACATAAAAGTGATATTTTTATTTTCGTTAACATATCGATCGACGAATAAATTTCCTAAAAATTCTAATACTCTACTGATTACATATATTATTATGATTATGATATACAAAACTTATTTAAATATTATTATATTACATATATTAGTATGATTATAATATACAAAATTTATTTAAATAACATATCAATAATTTTGATAACAATTAAATCTTTGTTTTTTTTTAATATAATTTATAGTATTATTATTGTGTGTTACATACATGTACGATACTTATGAATATAAATTTCTACATTTTTTTTCTTCAGTTATTTTTGTTCTGTGTATAATGGGGAAAAAAAAATTAAAACAAGAAGAGAGAATATTTCTATAAATAAATATCCAAGGTTCGATCAAACGTGATAATTATGTTAGATTCTATTTTAACGAGAAAAATCATTTCTACGTGTACTTATATATATATATATACATACACCTTGATATATATTGTACGTCACAACGCATATTCGGTTTCGTGGTTAGAGGTTTTCTATTTTTGAAAAATAATCTGTAGTGCCATGGCCAGTATTTTCTATCACCAATCGACTTTGTTACCCATGCCATTTGTATCTACAATTTTCTACAAACTCTTAGAAAATACTTATCATTAAAAAATAATAATATCAGTAAATCTAATAATATTAATTTAACAAATTGACATAAAATTTATTCAGACATATCACATTATTTATAACTATTTTATTCGTTATTTATTTTATCATTTATTCATAAAAAAAAAAAGCTATTAATTTATATGCGCTCATACGTTAGTTCGTTCATTATAAAATATTATAAAAAAGATAATATATTTTGTTTACGAAAAAAAAAAAAAAAAAAAAAAAAAAAAAAACTGGTGTGTGTA